TGAGCAGTGGATTAGTTCTGGCAAGCGAATGTGGTTTTGTGGTTAAACACATTGTTGTGGCAGGTGTCTTTGGGTGGTGCTTTTAGTCAGTATTCAAAGTTATTTCTTAAGGTGCAGAGCAGAGCTGAAGCTAGAGAAGCCATCTTTGGTAGCATTAGGTTTGCATTTTTTTTGTTGTGCAGTGTTTTCTTTGGAGGCAGTGGTTTTGAGAGCAAAGAAGTTTTAAGAGCAGCAGGTTTTCCATCTTGGCCACTAACTAAAATGAATTGTGCCTGGGAATTGTCCTCTACAGTTGGCGTTTGTCTGAGGTTCAAGAAGGAATGGATTAACTGCAGACTGGTTCACTACTGGACTCAGTTTGTATGTGTCAAGTTATACTTCATATATGCCTGGACAAATTTTATCTGCTTTCTCCTACAGATGTGTAAGGTCCAGAACATCTGCTCCTACTTGGCAGAGAGTGGACTCTCCCATTTCTGTGGGAAGAAGGGACGGAGCTATTTATTTACTGATAGATTAGTGGATCTTCCACAGCCTCTGCTGTTAAGCCTGAGCTCAGCAAGGTCTTTAAACGTTGCCTGCATGTGGTCCTGTTCAAATCAAAATTCTTAGCTTGCTGTCTCTGCTCTCTGCACAACGAAAATGCAGATAAAAGCTCGTAGCATTCATACTGATTACAAGTGTGATTGCAGGATGGACTGTACTTAAGGAATGAAGAGCTGGTACCTGAAGGGCTGCTTTCTGCTGGGGTCTGTCTATTTTAGTTCCAGGTTAATTAGCAGTGTGGACTAGAGCTGATTCCTTCTTGGCAGAACCCCAAGAGAAGAGACATAGTAGGTGCAAAGGTACTCCTCCCAAAGTATGATGGGATTCAGAAATAAAACCAGTTGCATCATCAGATCACCATTTTGGACAAGCTCTTCCATCCAAGCTGTCCTGGAGTGGGAAGGCTGGGAGTGGCCCACAGGAGGGCTGGTACTAGCATGTCATGAAAAGAGCTCTTGCTGTGTTGGTGAGGAGGCAAAGGAGGGCTCCTTTTCCTGGCTTCTAGCATGTGAAATATACATTTAATATATGTGACGATAGATAATGTAGTAGTTTATAGGAAGCATCTTTGGTGTTCATCCTGGTCTTGTAAAAAGGCATTTATCCTTACCTTCTCCCACCTCAACTTTTACTAGATTATTGTATTACCTTACTAATTTGTCTGTAGTAGGATAATTTACAGTGTGTGTTTCAGGATAAGTTAGCAGACTAGTTTACTTGTTGAAACTGTTCAGTGCTGTGAGGTAAGGTCCCAAAACTTGTGATTTAGGGAAAAAAATTAACTGCTTAAAGATGATTAACTTTGCATTGCTCAGGCCATGTGCTCTATGTGTACGTAAATATTTGTAAAGAAATGCAGTTCACTGAAATCAACACAGTTTGCAGAGTTTCCAGTGTTGTTTCAAGTGTTGAATTCAGAATTTGGTCACTGTCCACTGCAAATGGATGTTTTTTTCCCCCAATGTGTATAGGTGGCACTGTTGGTCTATGTATAAAGGTGGCTTTCTAGCAGCTTCTCAGACATTTTAAATTTGGGGTATTTGAAAGTGCTGGTGCCGTGCAGCGTGGATTTTTGGTGGATCCTGATATCTGTCGTTACAGCTGCTGCAGCAAGCTTCCCCTGGTTACTCCCAGGCAGGATGCTAGAGGCACTGCCTGCTTCCAAACGCTGTGATTGCCTCAGTGCCAGTCCATTTAGGATGGGAATTTGGGGAAGAGCACCGCCTTACTTTAATCCTTGTGAGAGTTCACTTTTGAAAACTAACTGAACAGGAGACAATTAAATGAAGTTGATATAGCAAGATAGTGTGTGGGATTCAATAAAATCACTGGGTTTACCTTGCTTATATAGGAAAGCAAAAAGCTACAGGTGCCTTATGGAGAAGGCTCCCAGGAATGACAGAGCATCTCCAGGGAGGAAAAACCTGGCGGAGGGAATGGAGAAGTAGGGGAGAAGTTGGAGCAGGAGCAAACTGGAGGCAAGGGGGTAAACAAACTCCACAGGAACTGTGTGAGGAAAAGGACTATGTATTCATCATAACCAGAAAAGAGCCAAAACCTGTGGAAGTATTTTGTAACAGAAAAGTGGTTCTTTAATGTTTGGTCAAACTCAGAATTGATGTTGCTGTCTTTGGGACAGGATGTGGACTAACTGCTCCTTTTTCTTTCCTTTCCTTCTTTTTTTCCCCCTCAGTGTTCAGGACAAAGATGGAGTGCTGGATCCTGCAGCCATCCCTCGCTTCATTCCAGAAATCACAATTGGAGGCAGTGAATATGATAAAATCTATTATGAGTATCGATCGGTAAGTAATACTGGAAGGGGAGAAGTTGTATGGTAGCCAGGCAACTGTCGCTGCCAAGGTGTAAGCACAATAATAACCGTCCTGTGCACAGCCTGGGTGTCACTCATGCACAGGGATACACTTTTCTAAGAGTAAGTTCTGGATTTTGCCCAGATCCCCACCTTTTTTGAAGTCTAGCTTCCCCACAAGAGGAATAATGAAGCAAATGGTTTGTTTCGTAAGCTGATTTTCTTTTTTGATCTTTAGATGTGGACTAAAGGATAAGTGGTTTTCATTTGTTTTTGTTTCTCCTGCCCCGATTAGTCTCTGAACTCTGAAATCTAAAATAATCCCTTAAGTCAAACAAGAAAATTGGAAACCCATGGCGACTTCTATGAAGACAACCGCTTATAAAACGCCGAGGCAGGGGGTGTTTTTTCTGGAGTAGGCTGAGGAGGTACAAATGTTACATTGCTTCTCAAAACTGTTGTTGCTTTAAATAGTGTGTTTCTGTACGTGGGCACACATCCAAAGCCTGTTGTGGCCCAGCGCTCTCTTACACCTCATGCAGGCTCCCACACAATGTTTTAATTAGCTGCTTGCCTTTCTGGTTCTGGAGACAACGGCTTCCAATTGACTTAGCACTTTGCCCTATTGTTTATTGTTATTTAGCTGGCATGGGGTCTTCTTGTACCACGCGGTGTTTTCCTAAGGCCCAGGTATTGTAAATTCTTATTAGAGAAATTGTGGAACTGATGACAATTAATACTGATTAGACAAACTGAAGTTACAGGTGATGGTATATTTTCAAGTTGGATTGAAATAATCTCTGCCACTTTTTTAAGCAATCACTGAAGACAAAGGAAGGAAGATCTATATAAATTGTTGTAAACCATGATTTGCAAAGTCAAAACACTACCATTTTTCTGTTCCTGTTAGTATACAGTCTCTTACTGAAATTAAAATGTCAGATACAGGTTTGTGGACTTGTTTGGTAACTCTGGACTACTGGTGTTTTCTTCTGGAATAGTCAGTTCAGAAGTCCCTGTGAATATTCAACATAATTTGTTCCTCCTAAGCTAGCTATGCAGTGGAGAGGTTCCTGGGTTCACACTGTTCTGCCTCATTTAAGATGTAGCCTTTCCAGCTTGTAAAAGGGGCTAAAGCTAAAGGTTAAAGCAGCAGAAAGTATTTTGGTACTACTTGAGGTTGTCTAACGGGTTTGAAAACTCCCTGGTCCATCTGAGAAATTGCTATCAGAATTTTGTGCTTCTTGGTATCACTTACATTAAGTCCAAAACTTCAAGCTTAGACTAAGGATTTTTGGAGTCCTTCATTCCAAGAGACGTCTGTGCGTGTGCAGCACATATTTCAGAAGGATCTGCTGCATGACTTGTCGCCAGCATGCAACATCCATCTGTACTGACGGTGCCTTTCTTCCCAAAGATGATGGGGTTTTTTGGCTGAAATGTCACTTTGCAATGGAGCTGGGAATTATTGAGGCTGCCTGACACACAGCTAGATGTGACCTCAGTGCTGCATGCTGAGAACCAGGGGTAATACTTCTGAAAGCCTTTTTTTCTCTAACTGTACAACAGCACATTCCTCTTTGTGCTGGCAAGAAACTGTGAATGCCCTGGCTCATCAGATAGCTGGCTTCCAGGAAAAATTGTGACTTGCCTTGCAGATGTAGCAAAGGGATGCTTAGGAGTAGGAGTATGAATACCTGGGAAGGAAAGCTGGGCTTTTGGATTGCTCTGCTTGATGCCAGTTAGTTGACAGCAGAAGCTGAGCGCTGTCAGTGCAAAAAACCATTGCCAAAATGTAATTTCCCTTCTGCAGGCATGCTTTTAGGCCCTGATTCACGAAAGTACTGTGGAAAGTGATAATGTCCTTTGGAGTAAGGAGGAGTTGTACATTTCATGAAGCATTCTGTTAAAATTCAGGCGAAACTAGCTACTATCTTTCTCTCTTCTGAATGCTTAGACAAGTGTAATCCTTCAGGGATGGGGGGGGGGTGTCTGTAGGGACAGTGCACAATGTAAAAGATGCTGAGTTTTCCTACTTCCCGTAAGCTACTGGAAGGCTGGCACAAAGCCAGCCCCACCTGCCGTTTTATGTTCTAAGAACTCAGTTCTTTGTGTTGGAACTTTGAAGATCTGTGTTTTTCCCTCCAACTTTGTTTAGCAAATGAAGGTGTGAATTTCTTTGTAAGGCAAGGCTTATATTCAGAGGTAATACAGCATGAGACCAACCAGTGCAGGCAGAAAAAGCAGATGAACTTCTAACGTACCAATCTTGGCTATGAGGTTGCTGGGTCTAATGAGAGGGAATTGTAAACCCTTACCTTGCCCATATTTATGCAGGGATGGTTACAGCTGTGCTACCACTTTTGCATCTGAAGACAGATAAAGATTTTAGGCTCACATGACTTGTAAGTAAAGACTTAATTATGGTATAATTACAGAACTTTAACTTTTCCTTGTGGGAAATAGGTGCTTTTAAACTTAGAGTAATGATGTTTACCACATAAATACAATGATTTGCATAGGGGATTTTTTCCTCGGCAATCCTATAACTAGTCATAAATCCTTGATCATACCAATAGGCAGCTAACTGCTGTGCTTTTCAGAGTTGCATGCACACAATTCATGCTGCCTAATAATGGTGGTTTTCAGGGATTTGCAAATTCCAGGCAGAGGCTGTTTATTGTTCAAAATATTCATTAGTCAGAAGCAACCGAGAAGGAGGAAACACTCTTCAGAGTCCAAGATTTTAGTATGTGTGCCTTTCTGCAAAATAATGAGGTAGCCACATACAGCTCTGAATACTAGAAACTCACTTTTTTATGTATATCCTCTAAACTTCTGCAAGAAGTGCTCTTTTCACATGTGAGGAGGTGGCTTTCTGCCTCTGTCTATTACCATGAAGTCATCTGGCAGGGTTCAGCCGTTCTGTTCAGGCATTCATAAACTTCTAAAGATGCTTTTCTGGCAAGGGAAAAGTAACCTTTTAGTCAGGTTCTGTAGATGAGAGATAAGCATGTTCATTCTTAAGTGAAGCAACATTATTTTAGGAACTGTCAGACTAGTAAAGACTTGACTACTCGGGTTTTTTTTCTTAACAACTGCTGTATCTCTCTGCTTTCTTCCAACTGCGTACAATCCCCATGGATAGTGCTCCAAACTCCATGTGCACCCTGTGAAGCTGGAGCACTTAGGCAGATGTGTTTGCAGAGAAGACGAAAACAAATGGTTCTGTTTAATGGAATCAGTGTACTTAAATAATGTACTTATGTACTTCACACTCCCGAATGCTGTTGGCAAGTCCTGCTGAACATGCTCTTTTCTGTATACATAAAAGTGCAGCTGTCTAAGATTCATGCTCAAGCCATCACCTATGTCTTTACCTCTGAAAACAAAGCTGGAGAACTTTAAAATAGTCTTTACTGCCTCTCCCTTCACTGCAGGTCGTACAGAAATAATCAGTATTTCATTTATGTAAACTTTGCGGTTAAAAAGACCAAAAAAAAAAAAAAGCAGGCTGCTTGTCACAAGGTGTACCAGAGCCTGGAGTCTAGTGTTTGCTGGTGTTCACTCAAGGTGAAAGCAAAATGGTTAAAACCTAGTCTCCTTTCTCATGTCATCAGCCTTAGCAGAAAGCATTTGTGCTAGCCTACTCACCCCAACCCTGGTTCACGTAACTCAGCTCCTCTGTTTGTCCAGTGGCTTGCCCCAATGTCTTTAAACACAAGTCTAAGAAACCCGGAAGGAGAAAAGGACTGTTTTCAGTAGTATGCTTAAAAACTGTGGCTTGCGTCTCATGCTCTTTAGGGCCACAAAAATGATCAGAGGGATGGAACACCTCTCCTGTGAGGAAAGGCTGAAAGAGCTGGGGTTGTTCAGCCTGGAGAGGAGAAGGCTGCGGGGAGACCTTATTGCGGCCTTTCAATACTTAAAGGGGACCTACAAGAAAGATGGGGACAGACTTTTTAGTAGGGCCAATAGTGGTAAGACAAGGGGTAATGGTTTTAAACTAAAAGAGGGTAGATTCAGACTAGGTATAAGGAAGAAATTTTTTACGATGAGGGTGGTGAAACACTGGAACGGGTTGCCCAGAGAGGTGGTAGATGCCCCATCCTTGGCAACATTCAAGGCCAGGCTGGATGGGGCTCTGAGCAACCCGATCTAGTTGTAGATGTCCCTGCCCATTGCAGGAGGGATGGACTAGATGACCTTTAAAGGTCCCTTCCATCCCAAAGCATCCTGTGATTCTCTAGGATTTGTTTGGGTTTTTTGTTTTTTTTCCCCCATCCTTTCTCCAGGGTGTAAGATTGCACAGTGGGAGGGGTATCCTATCCTTTTTATAGTTTGCTGGGATTCTTTAAGTATATGTGCCGGTGTGTATACGAAAGCAAATAACCAAGTACTTGGGCACACAGATTCTTCTTCAGACAAGACAGGTCTAGGCACCTAGAAGTTCCTTTTATGCTAAGGCAAATCCCATATCAAAATGTTGTATCTTCTGTTAGCCTAACTTATACAACTAGAAAAAGGAAGTCAGGGATGTGTACCTTACCCTCGAAGCAGACAGTTGTGATGAATTCGTTGAAGAATTTATTCCACACTCTCAAATTACCTTCGAAGAGGCTTCCTATCCCAATATGACTTCCAGCTCCAGTGAGTGCATGTGCTGTGTGTAAGGCTTTCTTAGATCAGTTTTAGTTGTCATCTTTCAGTCTGAAGTGTCCTGCTCCTTCATTGAAATGGTGAGCCACATACTTCCTTTCCTTTCTTTACCCTCTCATTGCTTTTCCTCACCATGCACTGGCTATTTGCTGATCCTGGCACACTTCAACCTCCATCCCTTGGCTCCTTTCCGTGATGGTTCTCATTGTTGCTCTCTGCAGTGAGATAAACTTTGCACGTGTGCCATATTCACCACATGAGGAAAGCAGAGGCTTATTTGACAGTAGTATTGATTCTGCTTTGTCCATCCTTGTCAGTGCAGCTCCATATTAA